TTTGTTTTTGTGAAGAGGAAGTCGAGGAGGTTAAAGAGAAGATAATGCAGACGGAGGAGTCTTAGTCGGCAGCTCAACCACATCAGCAGTATCAATAGCCCTTGGGCTAGTGGTGCAAAACTCCGCTGGAAGCCTTAGCTTCAACATCAACATGTCGAAGAAGGACGAGGAGATGTCAAGGTCGACGCATGCACCGATGCCGCACATCAGCCACATGTCACAAAAACCGCAAGCTCTTGGGCTGTTAATCCCCGCCTGGCCTCTCACTCAGGCCTCCCTCGAGCCCCATTACCCGCATGGGCTGGAGCTGCTAGCTGGGGCAATTAGGTTAGAGCAATAGCCGGTCCACCGGGCTATTGAATATGGTGGAGCTGCTTTTAACCTATCACGATCTTAACTCGTCATGTAAAGTCAAAATCTATGTTGATTTTCGGAAAAGTCAAGTTAATTGCCTCGTTGATTAAAGTGATCTTTAAACCAAGATTATGACTAAAGGCAGGAAGCTAAATGCATGCATGTATATATGGTTGTCCACACATAAATAAAGTAAGTTGCTAAGGGCATGTTTGGTATTTTACTTGAATTCAACTTTTTAAACTAAAAAACAATTTTCAAGTTTTAGGCCTTAAAAACTTGTTTGGTAAGACTATTTTAAAAAACTAAACTCAAGACTAATTCAAAAATATAGTGTATTCTCTAAAAACATAAAAAGTGAGTTTTTAGAGTTTTTAAACTTAAACTCACTCCTTTCTTTTCTCTCCCTCCTCCCCTCTCACTCCAAATCTACCTTTCTCTTTTCTTCTTTCTCTCTCTTTTTTTTTTCAACCTATTTTTGTCTCTCCTCTAATCCGCTCTCTTTATTATCTCGGTTCTTTCTTTCACTCATCTTCCTCTCGATCTGGTCTGATCCTCTCTTCTTTCTCTTTCCTTTAATCATTTCTTACTTTATTTTCTCCTCTCTCATCTTTCTCCCTCTCATGCGACCCCCTCTTTTTATTGTCTAGTTTCAGTCGTAAGATTTAAAAATTTTAAATCGCAAACCAATCAAGTTTTTGAGTCTTAAAAAAAATTGTTTTCAAGAAATGTTTTGAGAAATGATAAAAATTTTCAAATAGAATATCAAACAGGCCCTAAATATTTTGTTTACCCTAATATAATCGTCCAATAAATTAAAGAGCACAAGATGATGGAGAAAATTTGGATCTTGTTCAAATAAACCGGCTGTACTCGAACTAAAGACTAGCTTTTAGTACAATAATATTGCTCTTTCAAATGTTAGAAAATGTTCGAAGTTCGGATTGATAATGCACGAAAAAAGAAAAAATGACAGTATTATAATTCGTAACCGATAGAGTTTTGGGAATACGACATTAATAAAGGTAATGTCGTATAGTAATAAGGTTACATCACTACTCACTAGTAGGCAGTATATGTTGACTCCCTGCCATGCATATAAATGGTTACATGACAAATGCAATTTTGAAGATAATATTAATTCATAGTCGTTGATTATTAAAAGCATTCAGTCATCATCGTAGGGCTGCTTGCAGCAACTTAAAGTAGCTGTTGTTATTACAAGCGATATTTCTTGTCGAAACTACACTGTAAAGAGAGAGAAAGGTTTGATTTCAAGATGCAGTGGGTTAAAAAAAAACTTTATTCCACACAACAAGTCTTGAATTAGATTCCTAACGTTGGTGAATCGCACGATGATGACCATGAGGAGGCTGAAATACTCTATTTATCTTTTTATTGAGAGTATAGAATGATAATAAAAGTATCATTAGTAAAATATGTTATGTTGAAGAAGGTTGATGGTCCATCATAAAACTAAATGACGATATGAGAAGTTGCCAAACTCGTTATAATTGTTTGTCTATGAAAGAAGGTAGCTCAAATGCGACTCCTTTCTGCCATGAAACTCCCTTCTTTCTGCCGTTCAACATATGTTATTTCTATATCTTCATACGTACTCCAACTTAATGTCTAATTTATGTATGAATGCAATTAGGGTTTCCATCATCCAAGTTGCGTTTGGGATAAAAAGTATTGTGCTTAATCTTCTTGTATTTGTTTTGATGGCAAGAAAAGTACGATCCATTATGTAAAGATACCGAAAGCCCACGGAGAAATTAGGCCGATCTGTATATGCTTTGGAATTTTGCAGGACTCGTCAATAAAGTTTCTTTTTCCACTAAAAGAAGAGATAACAATTATTTTTTTTAATAAACGATAGTATCCATATTAAGAGGTTGGGAAAGTGGAGTGGGCTAAGCCTTACAATGAGTTTGCCATAATAATATGGTTCAGCTTTGCATTTGATGAAAATCAAACCTAAGAGCTCTTACGTATAAATGAAGAGAAATACGACTAAACCGTAGTACTAAGTAACTAAAACAAAATGTTTTTTGTTTTTTTTTTTAAATCATAAAACATAATAAAAACACAAGCAATTCAGATTTAAGAAAAGTGATCAAAAGGGATTAAATTAGGCCACTTAATACTACGGTATGGTGATATTCCTCTTTCTTTTTATGTGAGAGGTCTTAGATTTAATTCTCGCCAAAAGCCAAATTTGAACCACATTATTACTAACTCATTGTGAGGCTAAGCCCACCCCTCATGCTTAGTATAGATAATATCGTTTGTTAAAAAAAAAAGCTTAATAATTAAATAAATAGATTAACTTGAAGTTGGAAAAAGGGCAGGGAATAGTAGCATTTTGAGGCATGATTTCTTGGCTTTTTGAAGTGGGAAAGATTCTAAACCAACCAGGAAAGAAATGTAGGGTTGTGAAATATAACATGCATGGGACCCACAAGAATCAAAATTATGTATCCAAAATTCCAAATTCATCCAAGCTGGCCACAAACCTACACAAGAGTCAAATTTGGTTTATGGCATAGATGGCCCTACTCTAAGACTTACATGGCAAAACCATGTGTCAAAAATGCCTTCCCCATTTTCCTATAATTATCCAATGTGTCTATTTCCATGCCTCCTTGTCATGGAGAATTTATATTGTTTTTTATCGACAAGGGAGGGAATTCGAATTTGAATCTTCTTTCATTGTTAGAAAATATGTATGTAACATGAATTTAAAGATTGGTTACAAATAATTCAGGATACACTTTTAAGTTATTGTTTTTACCACGTTGGTATAACAATCAGTTAAAAATGTCTTACGATTTTATTTTATTTTATCTTCTCAATTTAAGATTCACTCATAAATTACTTGAAATAGTAAAGAAATTTGTTTAGGTACAGTAAAGTAGTATACTTATATTTTTACGTTGATCAATGATTTTGATAATGAGCTATGTGTGCATCAATAACAGACGATACTTCTTTCTAATAATTCATATTTTCATATATTTTTATCATATGTTTCCTTTGAATTTTGTATATATGAATGGGTTAAATGCACTAAATTCTATTGTTTTATTTATAGGCATTCAATATTGGAGTTACATGAAAAAGAAATGGAAAATGAGCTTTTTGGGTGTCTAGAGTAATTTTGGTGGAGCAAGAGGCTAATTAACTGCACCAAGACATATGCATTACAACAACAAGATGAAACCGAGCAGTTTTGGAATCAACTAGACATGGGAATACTATTCAATGAATTTTAGGACAGAGCTTAATTACTAGTTTTATTATTTCTGTTTATTTTCATTTCTTAAATAAGGACATAAAGTCCATTAGGATTAGTAATTAGTAGGCTTTTAATTGCCTTTAAGCACTTGCTTGCCGCTTGTTTTATTTAAGGAGATCCTTCTCGGGGTCAGCCACCAAAAAAAACCACAAAGAACAATTCACTTAGGGGCTGCGGCAAGGAAGGGCAAAGAGGAAGAGTTACATTGGAGTTTTTCTTTGCTAAGGCTATGATGTAGCTTAATCATGAATACTTAGTTGTCTCGTGATATTGTTATTATCAAGTTTTTCTTCCTTATTGAGTATCTTTTGTTATTTGTAATGTGCTTGATTTTTATTTAGATGCTTGATCACCATTTAGGTTTAGATTAAGTTTATTTGATACAAGTTAGAGTAGATGCCATGCTTAACTTGGGTTTAGCTTCTTGCAATTGATACCATGTACACCTATTTGTAGATGCCATACAATTAGGGTTTATGTGATTTTCCAACGATTTCCATAGAGCTTAATGGGTTCTTACTTCTTACTTGTTTAAATTCAATTAGATGCCATATAGGGTTAACATGTAAGGATATTTTTGATGCAATTAGATGCCATGACCGTTGAATAATTTAGAGAAAATTGATCAACAATATTGAAGAACTACTTGAGCATAACATATTAAGGAAATTAAGTAGAATTGGTTACGGTGAATTCAGATGCCCTAGGTCTTTTTTTCTTATGTTTCAATTTATAATGCATTTTATTTTCAAGCTTTACTAATTTTAAGTATAATTCAAAATATCATATATTTTCCATTAAAGCTTCTCCACTATAATTTGTTTCAATTTAGTTAGTAAGATTTTGAGAATCAATTCGATCTCTGTGGGACAATATATGTGCTTCAATGCTATACTATCATCCGATTCATATACTTACAAGCACTAAAATTTAAAACTTAATAAAGTTAATTTTGCTTATCTAATTTTCCCAACAAGTACCTACATCAAAAGAAACTCTTGTGGAAAACTTTGAATAGGCACCATACTCAATTGATGTGGATCTGTTGTTAGGTGTGTCCGACAGATGACGTGACCCAACAATCCGACCTTTGAATGGAGTTGAGTTTTATTATATGTCACTCAAGTGGAATTGAGTTTTATTTACAGTCGAATGGAGTTGAGTTAGCCCAATGGGTTTGTTTTGGGCCACTGGCCAATTGCGACCGTCAGCCATAGGTCCGGGGTCTGGGATTAGCTTCGGAAAGCCGTAGGTGTCCCGAACCTCTCAAGACATATTTACTATTATACCCTTCCCTCCGTCCCTCCATTTCCCTCCTTATTCAATTTCCAATACGGTACGATCGACGACGGCGTTTCTCCCTCCATCAATCTCAGTGTCTCACAGTCTCACAAGTCACAAGCAATGAAATTGTAGAGAGAGAAAGACAGAGGAGAGAGATATCGAGAGAGAAGTTAGGGTTTCAGCTCGGGTTTCACGATGGAAGGTCTCATCATTCTCGATACGGACAACGGCGGCGCCGGAGGTAAAAATTTCTCAGAATTTGATTTTCTTTAGGTCTTGAAACTCGATCTTCTGCCATTTTTTTTGTTTATTCATGAATCAGCGTTTGAATTTGTGGTATGAATTCATTTCTTGATATAGAATTAAATAAACTAATGTTTGAGGGTTTACGATTTAGGACGAACTGAAATTACGAACTCTGGTGCTGTTTGGGTGGGATTCGTAGGACCAGGGTTTGCTGAAGTTCGTTAAATCTCGATATTGCTAGCTATCGAGGTTTTCTCGAGTAAAATTTGTGTAGGATAAGTGCAAATATGTTGGATTTCGAGATGCACAAGCACAACTAGTTTCAAGCTCTGGTTAGTTGCTGACAAATATAGGGAAAGAGGTGAATTTTTATTTCTGACCAGTGTAGCTATTCAATTCAGTCCACGGGAGCTTTCTGTTATCTGGAAATTTTTGTGGACATCTACTTTGTTGTGATGGTAGGCTTGGTAGCCAATTAGTTATTGGGATTTTTTGGTTAGGTTTTGCTGAAATGACAAAATGTTTGGTGTGAATACCAGATAACAAGGCAAAAGGTGAGAAAATTGCTAAGGGGTTGTCGATTGGAAGTAACTCACGGAAGAGGCTTGCTGATATTAGCAACTTGCAGCCGCAGCAACTGAAACCATCGATTCAACAGGTGAAGCAGCAATTTGATTCAGATACAAATAAAGAGTATATTGACAATCTTCAGAAGGTACATTCTCGGTTGTATCTCTCTTAATCTCATATGTCTAAGTATGTTGATGATGCGGTTGGTTTAGCTAATTTTGGGTTTGTTGAACGTGTTCACAGGAAAATAGGACATTGATGAAACTTCTTACTGACAGAAAGTATCCTTTTGGCCATCTATTTTCCTCATTGTGTGTTTCTCTCATTGATGTTCCTAATCTGCTTCGGCATGGCTTGCTTTTTTGGTTTTCTTAATTATTTGGTAGCAAAATCATAGAATTGAGCAGAGTAGAGATACAGAACTTGAGAATCAATCTGCAGAAAGTACAACTTCAGAATTTACAACTCGCCCAAGCAAATAGCCAGATCTTAGGGGTACTTTTTTACATGTTTTAGTTGTTGATTATTCCAATCTTCCACGATACCTGGTAATTTCATCAACTAATATAAAATCGACTTTCTAATTCAATTTTGCAGGAACTCAGTTCAGGTAAAGATAAGGTAAGTTAAGTTTCGACAGGTGAAGTCTGAGTAGTATGTGCTTTCACTTTCTATTTTATATTCAATTGAAGAAGCATGAACTAACAGCATTATGCTTTTACTTTTAGCTAAAGGCACTTCAACATGAAATCGGGTGCAAAAATGGTTTGCTCAAACTGAGAAAACTGGAGGCTGAGGTGAGTTTAACTAATTAAGACTTTAACCTGTTTTGTAAGGTTATAGACTTTTTTGTTGAACTGTAAACCCTGTGTTCCTAGGAGAAACCCAAAAGAGTAACGTGCCAAAGTACAGAAAATCAGGTAGTTAGCACATTCCTTTCTCGTTTCTGAATTAAACTTTGAAGGAGTGGTCTGTTTTGTTGACCTCTTGTATTCTTTACAAATTTCCTTTCACTACCCACAGGTAGAAGGTTTAACTAAGTGTGTTGAAGCGGGGGAGTCCTTGCAAGCAGATAAGAAGGATGGTCCTTGTAATACCCAAAGGGATCGACATCCAAAAAATCCACGTAGATGTTAACTTGACAACTCATTGTATTTCTGATATCTTGTTTCTGTGCTAACAATCTTGAGATATAATTTGCATGCAGTTGTGGCTTCTCATACTGTTGAAGCAGTCGAAGTTAAAGAGAAGGCTGATAATAAAAGGTTTGTTTGTATATGTTTGATTTCCTAATGCATACATGTTTTCGGGTTTTTACTTTATTTACATGTGCTCTGTGGTTTCCTCATAGAGGCTTGAGAAGGCAGTCTGCAAGGTTTAAAACTGAAGAACACGAAGCAACTGAAGAAATGCCTGAGACCAATGGTTGCAAAATTCCCGTCTCTCCTCTTTGCAATAATGTGGTTCATAAAAGTGTGACGACATTTTCATCAGCAGAAAAAGAGGCTCCTGCTATTGAAGCAGTCCAAGCTAACAAGAAGGCTTACCACAAAAGGTTTGTTCGTGTATGTTTGATTGTTTTGTGAAGTACATGTTTTCAGTAGGTTTTCATATTACTTACAGATGCTTTATGGATTCTTAATAGACATTTTAAAAGACAGTCTGCAAAGTTAAAAACTGAAGAACAGGAAGCTACTGAAGAAATGTTTGAGACCAATGGTGACAAAATTCCTGTCTCTCTTCTACGTGACAACGTGGTTCATGCAAGTGAGACGATATGTCCATTAGGAGGAAAAGACGATTCTACGAGTGCAGCAGTCCAAGCTAAAGAGAAGGCTTACAACAATAGGTTTGTTTATTTATGCTTGATTGCTTTGAGCAAGGACATGATTTCATTAGGTTTTCACATTGCTTACAGATTCTTTATGGTTACTCAATAGGCGTTTTACGAGGCAGTCTGCAAAGTTAAAAACCGAAGTACAGGCAGCACCTGAAGTGTTTGGTACCAATGGTGAAAAGTTTCACGTCTCTCATCTATGTCATAATGTGGTTCATGAAAGTGCTCCGACATGCTCAGTGTTGGAAACAGAGGATCCTATTACTGCAGCAGTCCAAGCCAAAGAGAAGGCTGACAACAAAAGGTTTGTTTGTGTATTTTTGATTGCTTTAAGGATGTACATGTTTTCAGTCGGCTTTAACTTTATTTACAGATTCTTTATGGTTTCCTGATAGGCGTTTGACTAGGCAATCTGCAAGGTTTAAAACTGAAGAATTGTTTGAGACCAACGATGACACAGTCCATGTCTCTCCTCTAAGTGACGATGTGGTTCATGAAAGTGGTTCAACATGTTCTTCGGTGAAAAAGGAGGATGAAGGATACACTGCCCCGAGATCTGAAGGCCAGGAATGTCGGAGATCATCTGCAAGGCCACTGCGGCGAGCAACTCAGATGATTAAGTCATACAAGGAAACTCCAGTTAATGTGAAGATGCGCAGAGAAAATTGAGTGAGTTGATGCTTAAAAGATTAACTACATTGTTGTGCCTTCTGGTATTAACTAGTTGTTTTGTAAAATTACTCTCGGTTCAGGAAACATGCCTTTAACTTTGTAAAGTTTAACGCTAATCTAGTTTCCGTTAATATAAGCAGCAGATGATGGGTTAAAATGCACAAACTTAACCTGAAATGTGCAATGGGGCTCGTAGCTCAAGCAGTTAAGAGCATACTCTTGCATCCGAGGTTCTAAGTTCAACTCCTCCTCCCTACTATTGTATCCAAAACTCAAGTCTCTCTCTCTCTCTCTCTCAAGGTATTGTGATCATTGAAAATATGATTTCTGTCGATTTTTTTCTTCCCTTGCAGGTAAATATTGTACTTACTTCTTACCAGTCATCTAATCACAGGGGCTTATGATTTTTTCCCTTCTGGGTTTTTTTTTTTTTTTTTGTATTGGCTTTTTAGCTAAAATGGTCTTTGAGATTTGCATAACTCTTTACTTTGTTCCCTAAGATTCGAAATCAATAGCAGTTGTCCTTGAGTTTGTACACCATCAATCATTTTAGTCATTCTATGAAAAATTATGTTAAATAAGAAGGACAAAGGTATCCTCAACTTAATAAACAATGTGCATTTGATAGAAATAGAGTGTTTTTTGTTATTTTATATTCATTTAATAGAGATTTTTCACGGAAAGACCAAAATAATTGATGGGTGGACAAATTCAGGAACAACTTTTATCGATTTCAAATCTCAGGAACAACTTTTTTCATTTTAATTGAAAAAAAATCTTTCGTATATAACCTAGATTAATCTTGAATAAATAAATGACTAGCCCATATCACATCTTCACATGCAAAAGAGGAGACAAAAGGGGTCGATTCTTTCTTTCTTGCATCGTGATCAAATCACCCCTTTACAACGCCAAGCCGCGTTCTTGCACGAACAAAGCAGGGAAAAGGAAAGCCTAAGCAAATGACCCAAGTTGAGGAAAAAGCTTGTTTTATAGAGTGTTGGACAACAAACAAATATGCTTTAAACTTGGAATTGTGAGTACCCTTTGACTAGATTTTTTGTATATATAATTATAATGGGCATACTACGGTCTGGTGGTATTTTTCTTCATTTGTGAGTGAGAGGTCTTAGGTTTGAATCTCGTGGATGGTGAATTCGATACCAAATTAGGTTGCCCATTATGTGGTCTAGCCGAACTCTCTCATTCCTTTAATGTAAAATATATCGTTGTATTAAAAAAAAAAAATCATGTATTGTTATTTAACAAAGAAAAATGAATTGATTATTATTTTTAAGTGTCGCTAACAATCCTACACCTCAAATTCAATTTAGGAAGTGGTCGAGACTCAAATTTGTACCCATTGAAACATAACATTTAGGAAAATGTATAAGGAAAATGTGCGTTATAGGACATTACAAATTCCGTTTGTTGAAATAGAAAAATGAACTAACCGACGAAATCGACAAGAAGTTTGACACGGAAAATGATCAATCAATACGATCGGCAACCTTAAATTCAATTTCGTCTTTCATATGCAAGATTCTTAGTTCACGTTTTTTAATTTGCATGGTATATGTAAAGAAACATGCGAGACATTTCACTTGCAATGCATCGTGTCCATCGTGCCAATTTCCCAACGGTAAAAAGAATTTATAATTGTCCTATATTTCTCAAAAGCGCATTCATTATGGTGCTATCCATACACCTATAGATGGATGCAAGTAGCGTCAAAGTGATCCTGAGATTCAAAAATATACTTGTGAGGGTCTTATGAGGATTCTTCAAATGTTTGGACGGGTCATTTTTGTGCCTATTAAATGTTTGATGTAATGCATACTGGGCATTTCTCCACAGGTTATGTCAACAACACTCAACAAATATTACTCATTGATTTCTTTTGGCATATGCCGCTATTTGTTGTCATGTGTGCAATATAGTTTGGCTGACAACAACAAGCCCACCAAGCGTTCGACGAACCTCAGTGAATAAGCTGATTTTTTTTTGCGCATTTCGCACTCTGTTCCTATCTAAAAAACTTGTCTTTAACAATGGGACCCCTAAGATTCAAATTATGGATCCGTCACTACATAGACCAATATCACACCTCTCTCAATTTTTAACTATAAGATCGAATCAATTGAAGAAGGTCAATATACAAAATTAACAAAGATGTGATGTGTGTGAGGTAAAAAGATCTGTTTGAATAGTACTATTCTATTTAATATCTTTTATGACCTGTCACATTCTTATTGCACCACGCAAAAGAGCCCAGTTTTTCATATCTGCTTTGCATGTGTGTGCATGTGAATATAGAGCCATGAAAAATGACAAATTGGAGAACGTGGACTCATCATGGCATGTGAGATGTAGGAGGACCCACGCGCAAGCCATGGTTGGACAGATCTTCCAATACGACGAGCTCACGAAATCTGAAAACAAAGGATCGAATAGGAGGAGGATTCTCTCTTTTTCAAACTTTTGGGATAAATTTGTTACCCTAAAGAGGGTCCTGGACCCAACATTATCTCCTCTGCCATTTTGTCGAACGTTACTTTTGGTGCAGTTCACTTATCTCAGTCATGGATATGAACCAGATGAAAGAAGATCTCCATGCAGACATTGTCACATGTGGTTGGAGGAAAAATATTCATTCTAATTCTACGACACACCATAACGTCATACATGATGCCATTGTTGTTTTCAATTTTGAGTTTATCAAAGTTTTAATATTTTTAATATACGATTAGGTTGGGAGAGATTTTTTATGTGCTCGGACCAAGGAGTTGTACGCCATATACTATTATACAAGTAGAAAGAATATATATATATATATATATATTTTTTTTTTTCAAATTTTCCTCCACTTTATGTGCCCCTGCATTGAAAAATATCTCTTAGGGTGGAGGTTGAGCTAAGTCAACCATGGATAATTAGTATCGAGCTGGCCATTCTTAAAAGAAAATTTTCAGTGAACACGGTCCGGTACACCAAGTGTTATAATACAATTGGCAGGAAAAACGTTATCTCAAGTTTCCAACCAATTGTATTATTATACTTGGTGTACCAAGTCGTATTTCAACATACTGAAATCTCTCTATTCTTAAAAATTTTACATGCAAAAAGTAATATCACTAATTAAATTGTACTGCTAGTGACATCTAGTTTTTATTAATGAGTAATAAAATCCATTCATTTATTTAAAAAAATTATTGTGTGCTACGTGAACATGTATTTGTTCCAACATAGAATTTGCAATGTTATCGTACTATATAATAACTGTTCATTCATCAGCTGCAAGATTTGTATTTTTTAAGTAATTTTCTAATTCATGCAATTATCCGCAAATCACACATCCTAATCCATCAAGATTCAGTGGCTTTACAGCCGCAATATCTTAGTGCGGTCACCATTGTCAATATTAGTAGTTTCAAAATTTTAACTCTAAGGATTTGGTCGAGTACAAAATGAGCAAGGTTGAAATCCCAACTCATGTTCAAACTTCCAAACATGCGTTTTTTGAGATTATCTTTTATGCTTTGGCATACTGTTTTACTCAATGCTAAAAATACGTTGTCACCTTATGTGATAGTCTGCCTTCAATGGTAGAATATTTTCACATTCAATAAATTAAAATTTAAGCAATGGTTATGGCTCAATGAAATACGTATAAGCTCGACTTTTTCTCCTTCTAAGAGTCAAAAAGAACACCTGAGATTAAACCATAAAGGAGAAAAGTGTTACAGATCAATCGGCTTTAATCATTGATCAAATATGATCTTTTTCTTATAGTTATATTATCTGACCAAGGAATTTCTCCAACATTAAAGTAATGGATATGGATTGTCTGTTGTTTATGATTCGAGAAGCTCTTGTCACTTTAACGTCTTGAAGCGATAATGATTTTATCTTTGTTTGAGATGTGATTAGTGATGTTATAAATTAAAATATATATATATATATATATATATATATATATAAAATACGCGTTGAACAGTGTAATCAGCGAGTGTGGTAATTCGAATACTACTGTGTAAAATTCGTCGATGGTCACACGTGCTATGCGGGGCTCAGCTACAGGCATAAGGTGCAGCTGATGAAGACTTGGGTCTCTCAAACTGCAGATTTCACATTCCTACAAAAGTTTAGTCCTTGTGTACACAATAGGTAGGGTAAAAAAAAAAAGCACTTGGCGCGCAATTGAGCATCTATAAATGCTTTTGGCCTTGTGTGTTTTGTTCAACGTCCATCATATCACAAGAACTAGAAACCAAAGTATATACTTCCAAGCAACCAACACTAACCCCAATGGAGGTTCAGTGCAGCCCTTTTAGTTGGGAATTCTTCTATCAGGAAGAGGTATTGGGTCTCGTTCGAGCTCGTATGATAACTATTTCAGCTTTCAATTTTTCAAATTCTATTTCTTATACGCATGGCTAATTAATTTTTTTTATTTTTTATTTTGCAGGGGATAGAAGAGCTAAGGCATTCTCTTTTGTGCAAAACTTTGGAGCTTGAGACAACAATTTTATCAGCAAAGGAGAAGATTTCAACAAGAGAAGAAGAAATTGTTCGTCTCAAAGATCTCCTCAGCAAAGCCCTCCAAGAGAGAAATGAAGCTGAAGCAAAATGCCAAACCCTAGTTTTGGACAAACTCGTGCTCCAACAAGAGCTACGGAAGCAGCAGCAAAAAGATGAGGATAATGAATCAAAAGGCAGTCAATCTAACAAACACTTTACCTCTTCTGACTCCGAAGAAACCATTGTTCCATCTCCGAATTCAGACCCTATTATGATGCCGCCGGCACCATTGTCATCACCGCCGCCACTGCCACTGGCTGCTTTGAAATTGGGAGCTATGAAGCCGTTGCCGGAAAAAGGGAGGCTACTTCAAGCAGTGATTGAAGCCGGACCGCTGCTTCAAACCCTTCTCCTGGCTGGACCGCTGCCTCAGTGGGAGCACCCTCCTCCCCAACTAAAGTACATTGAAATTCCACCGGTTGCCATTTCTCCTCCACCACGGCGACTTCAACACCAAGACTCTTGCAATTGTAGTGGTACTAGTTGTTTCGGTCACAAGGGAAGTTTGGTAAGCTCTGATGATTCTGGTTCTGATTCATTACCCAACACCAAGCGCCGAAAGCTTGTTCTCCATTGACCAACATTTTGTGCGTTTTAGTTACATAATTGTCTAAGGCTGCACATCCTTTTCATACTGTCAAACATGCAGGGGCAGCAGTATGGAATGGATTGCGCAATCCATATCGGTTAGAATTTTTCAAACAACCATCGTAGAAATGAAAATCATAGCTTCTTTAGGTCCATCTGATAACTATTTTGTTTTTTTGCTTTTAACTCGGAGGAATACTTGAATGATTCAATCTTCTCTTCTCAGAATTTAGTTGCTCTAATTCTGTAGTTAATGTAAAATTAGTGGGAGCTATAGCCTCCAATTAATGTAGAATCACATTTTGTGTGTGCCTTTGGTATATTGGGGATGATCAAAAGTGACCAAATTTCGGAAAATGTTATGATTTAGTTTAAGGCCATAATTGTGCTCATGCTATTTCTTCTCACTTTTTTGCTTTTTTTTTTCTAGGTACATAAAAGTAGCATAATTATTGTGACAAATAATCATAAATCTCCCAGAGATTTTTTCTTTTTATGAAGCATGCATACCTACCATCACCTTCACTGTGAGTGTCTGCCATAATCCCACCAAAGACATCTATAATTAGATTCTTTGTTATCATGACTAATGCATTTGCACAAACCATACCTTAAAAAAAAGAAAAAAAAAACCCAATCAATTTAAAAAGGTTTTTTTTTTTTTTTGAAGTTCAAATGGTTTTTGAGATTAGTATAACCTCTCAATTTAGTTTCTGATAATAAAAATTGATAGAAGTGATCATTGTGTTTGTCCATCGTAAATTATTTTGGTCCTTCCATGAAAGTCTATCAATATTCACGTTACATTGTCACGTAAACGACTATGTGACCACATTTTCAAGGGTGTTTTTGTCAAACCTACCCATCCACTTAACAATGATATTGACATATTTTTCATGAAATGATCAAAATGATTTACGGTGAACAAACACATGGACCACTTCTATCAATTTTCATTATCAAGGACCAAAGTGGAGTTATACTAATCTCATAGACCATTTTAACTAAAAATTAATTAAAAAAAGAAGAAAGAAATAATGAAAAATGATCTCAAATAGCACTATTACGACAACAATGTTCTCAAGTGGCAATGTTGTTGTAGCAAATCAATAGCAATAATACTTATTTATGGTATACCAAAATTATCTTCTATCAGATAATATCATCAACATATCGCGATGCTATCGATATTTGAGAGCTTTTATCATAAAGAAAACCTTCATAGCCAGCAAAGGTTCAACAGGAAACTAAGTGCACACAGTAAGGTCAAATTTGAACTGGAATGTTTGTACAATAATATGGTTCGTTTAGACTAATGAAGTAAGTCAATGAATTTAAAGGAAGTAATAATATATAATGTTTATGGACGTTGCTTTCTTAGTTTGAAACCATTGAGCTATATGATCATCATGAACTAACATGCTCAGTGAGAAATTTGACAATAAGGTCCCACACTTTTTGCAAGGGTAATGGTCTACTCAACAACATATCAAATTTAGAAAATTATGCACATATAAAATCAATAATAAAATTTTGATCAAAACAAGAAATGGGAACACTATAGTAAGCTGTATATAAACTACCAGGAAGTGCTTTCTGTTAAATATTTAGAGCTCGTTTGGATGTGCTTTTAAAATGACTGGAAACGATTGTGTTGAAAATATTTTTGGAACTAATACTTAGTAAAAATGCAAATAAATTCTAGAAAAACACTTAAAGTATTTCCTAGAAGAAGTACATAGCTGGTGTTTCTTGCAGAAAACACTTTAAGTGCTTTGGGAATCAAATTTTTTTCTCTAAAAGTGCTTTCATTCATTTTAAAAGCACATCCAAACGAGCCTTTAGTGTTCGTCTGATTCCACTTTTGTTTAAAAGTTAGTAGCCAATTTTATTGTGCGTATTTCCCATCAATCCATTGTCACTGTCGTTTGGTATGTGATCACATGCTTTGTAGGTCAGTTTGTATTTAAAATTCACGAGCTAAAGTCTACATAATCGGGACATTACGAAAACGAATATTAAAGCACAAATATTAACGTTCAAAAAATAGTAGGATAATATCGTTAGTAGATATACAGAGAGCACTGAGATGCGTGAAAACTATTTTTAAAGTTTAATCTTTTCTTTCAAAAGAAATGATTTTAGTTTTCAAAAAAAACAAAAAAAAAAAAAGCAATGCTTTCATATTTTATTTTTTTATATCAATATGTAGCTTTACGAGCTAAAATTGTTACGGACCCTAATGAAATGATTATTAAATTACTTGAAAATTATTATTAGCGTTCTAAATGGCAAGATAAATTTTTTTATATTTTTTTTTTTACCTTGCATGATAAAATCATTAGTTTGTTGATAGGCTAGAACAAAAATGAAAAGGTATTTGTCGGTAGATTTCATCCACTATTTCATCAAATTCAAAGGAAAATTAGTTTTTCCTTCGTTAATTCTTACTTATCAACAATAACCAACAATGTAATTATAACATGTGATAACAAAATAATATGTAATGCTCCGTTACATAAATGTTTGGTTTTTTATGTTTTCTAGTTATGCTATATATTTTTGAATTCTTTTGTGTCTATGTTTCAAAATTTTATTGGTGGTTATAGTTGATAAGAAACAATTAATGATGAAATAACTAATTTGCCCTCGAATTTGATGGAATTGATTCCACAATCTAACGATATGGAGTTAATTGGTTGATTTTAAATAGTTCAGGAGGTTAATTTACAAAAAAATAGTTTAGAAGGTTAATTTCAACTAGAATGACAGTTTAGGAGGTCAAACCACAATTTATCCCTTAAAATAACATCGTCAACGGTAATTTAAAATAAAACAGTAGAAAACAATTTACAAGAAAAATGGAAGAATCTGAAGAAAAACAGCAAATTTCAGAGCCTCACAATCACACCCTCTTTATCTGAAATTCTCTTAAAACAAAAAGCCAATGCCTTTATTATATTCGTCTCCAATTCTTTTTTATCCGCCATCACCAACTGCTCCAACGACCATGCGCCACTTCCCTCCTCAACGCCTCACCACGTGTCCTTCATCCTCTCTACGGCGCCGTTTCGCCTCCGAACCAAACCCCCTTCCACTCCACTCCGCCGAGGTTTTCAGAAACCCGAATTGGCAATGCAATGCAAGCCGTCCTCCTCCGCATCAATGTCGGCCGAGGAGCAGTCCGCTTCGACCTCCCAGGTTTCTTATTCTCTCTCTTGCTCCAAAAACCTGTCGAGAATTTCTACGTTGTTTTTCCGTAAATTTCGGGACCAAATGTTGCATTAGAATTTGCTGGCAAAAAAAATTAGGGGTGACAAATAAAAATATGAGAAACTTGTGTAAAAGTAAGATTAAGGAGTTGTTGTGGGTTTTGATTAAAGGATTAAACTTTGTTACTGTTGTGATAAATTTGCATTGTGTATTGAATTTTGTAGAATTTATTTTATTCGAGCGATATTCTAATTTAATCCAAACTACGGGAGGGAGGGGAATTCGGAACAATTTCCATGTTAGTGCTAAGTTATGATCTTGTAATGCCTGTGCAGTGGGGTGATCAACTGCATGGTGGTTTGTTGTATTCAAGGGCGGTCTGTGTTAGTGAATCGATTATTGCCTGGAATGTGGATGTTTGAAATGGTCCTGCTACTTATTTGCTAGTAAAGCCGCTGCTTTATCTTGTTCGAGTGATGGAATTATAGGTAAGGACTTTACTAATTCTTACTTCAAGTTCGAGTAATGGAGTTCATGATTAAATCATAAAATTGTGCAATGAGACTTCTGTGCTAGCAGGTGAGGATATATAAGTAAAGCTTGAAGAAGGTAAACACGGGCTTCCGGAAAATGTAAGATGTTATGTTATCTGTAGAAGCAGTTTCATGGAGCCTCTTATTGCTGCTTTTTCTTAATGTGACTTCTGAAGAAGCTTTGAAACTTCTTCGAACTGGCACATGTATAAAATGATTTTTGTTAGGTGAAAGAAAAATTTCCACATATCAAAGATTACAGAGCTTTTAATGTGTCCCCTGATTTGGACGCCAAAATTGTAAGAATGGTTTTGCATTTGTTCTTTGCTATTCAGTTTTATCAATGCACTGCTAGATAAACCGTTTTGTCTCCCTAGACTAAATACAATGAATTCTGATCAACTAACTTTTTGTTTTAAAATTTCAATCTGTAGCCTTACACATTAGAGGAGTATCGAGGTGTGCATGCCATTGAGAATGCTGAAGTAGATAAGATCATAAAACTCACCAATTCTAACAAATTAAGTTTTGAAGATTCTTAGTTATTGGTAATTTAATTGTTTTATGGTAGTCGCCCGTTTGTGTTAAAAGTTATTCGTGGACCATTTAAAGTGATTTAGCTATAGTTGGCATTGCTGTTTTACATAAATATTATCTACTATCTTTCAGATTGAATATGTAATTAAACTCCCATCAGAATCCTGACTAATTATTTCCAGTGTCCTTTAAACATACATCAGATATTGTTTCGATTTACGTTTAAATTTTCTCTGATCTTGGATCAATATTTTTATTTTCTTTGTTTTGGTGCTACTGCTACATAAGCTTGGTATTTCTTGAACACACAATTTCTTTTTATGACAGAACATAGTCATCACAGTGAGTGTGTTTTGTGAAATCCTTGACCAGGTTGAGTGCCAGCTGTAAGGTGGGCTTAACAAGTCTGAGTATCAGCAGTTTATGAACTTTAGTCAATCTGGAGTCTAATTTTTAGATGCTTACATTTCGTTGAGGATGTTATTGCATTGTTCATGTTGATGCTTTAAAGGTCAAATGACGATAATTAACATAGCAAAACGATACGATTGACAACTACATTTGTTTTCAAGATCAATTATGTTTCTGCGCATGACAACAAAACTCTGTTTGACATCGTGACTCTGAAGGTATGTGTACTTCTGCAGTATTTATTGGACTTCAGACTGGTAACTTCTTGTCTAACTCAGTCCATTCCTTGTAGACTCCTATGGAAATTTCTTTAGAGGAGAGATTCAGGATAAATCACTTAGCTACAAGTATAATAGCACTCGGACAGGTCTTAACTTGTATTTAATGTTGATGAATGAAAAATTCATGTATTTTTCTCTGTTCTTTGGATAATGTTTATTTTACACTGTTGCATTGACCATACATTATCAAGTGTTTGTAGTATACTATAAACTATAAAGTGACAATTATGAAATGGCAGGCTGCTAGGATTACTTTTAATGTTTATGAATTCATTTTTCTGTAGTTCATTTCTGGGATATTGTATGACCAATCAGTATTTAAATGATTCCCTAACTTTAGGGAATACCAATTTTCCACGCCTGCGATAAGCTGCTTCGGTCAAAATCACTTGATCGTTACTCATAGAGTTCTGGTGATTGGTTCAATAGGTCAATTGCTAATCTCATTCCCAAGTTAGAGTCTTAGTTATAGTTGTTACATAAGATTTCAAGATTTTAGCTGATCGCATATCGAACTGCTAGAATAAATGTATGATCTTCTGCATTGTAATGCTACTTCCGAGTTACAAGTTGAATGCTTTCTGTGTTCCAAGAATAAATCCCACTCCTATAGTCCTATGTCATCTTTTCTGATTGAGTAATCCATGCCTGCTATAACATGTCTGTCTCTTTCTCAAATATAATGTTTGGGGTGTTGGCCTTCCTCCAAAAGAGAAGAACGAGCACAGCTGGCTGCTGTAAGCACTCGTGTATTTACACAATCATTTGATCGTGTGTACTTCTTAGTGATGTTGACAGGTGATGCAGAAACCTCTGATAATGGTGTATCTGGCATCAGAAACTTTATAACGACTGCTATGACATGTCAAGTGATTATATTTTGGTTCTGTTTCTTTTTGTTTTTTTCTTTTTTTTTTCAGAATGAAACCAAGGTTAGCAGATCCATCCTTTTAAGCCTCAGAAGTCGCATCATACTCGCTGCTGTGGATAACTTTTCAATTTGTTAGGTATTACTACTAGGTACTCTTCACCACTTTTCCGTTTGAGGACGGCAAATGTTATTCAGGTGAGAGGCCTGGCATCTGTACTTAAGTTCCACTACAAAAGTTTAAAGTTTTTTCTTGGAATTGATATTTCCAAGAAAAAGTGCTAGGCTTGTTGCATAGTAAACGCTATGAGCCGACCCATCTCTTTTAGAGATAAACCAAATTCACTCCCAAGTTTTAATACATAATATTCAAATTTTCAGGAACAGGTACGTTTCTATAATACTGGTCCTTCATTTCTCCTTGGAGTCATAGTAGTATGCATTGAAGATGGTCATGAAGGCGTGCCAGGGCTATCTCAGCTGGATGCAATGTCGGTAGAATAGCACCAGAGATTTTCTGCATAACATCTCAAGCCTAAAAAAAGATTCTGAATGATGAGATCATACCTCCTGATTTAGTTGTTTATTTTTATGAGCTCATATCACTAGAATTTGCTTTAAAGAAGGCCTCCTTGATTTGTTTTCTTATAGCTCTTTAATATGAACTTGTTGCAGGTAACGTCAACAGATGAAATTGTTAAGAGATCTGCGTATGATGCTTCCTCAGGATGCTTCACTGCGCCCCCAAGAACTACATCTGTGTTTGTTAAACCTCGGGAAGTTTGAGTAGCTCTGCCGTAGACGTGGTGTTCGAAGGATTTCATAAGAGTCAAGTACCATGGTTGACCAAAGCACCGTTTTTTTTTTCTTTCCTGCAGTTGAGGAGGGAGAGAGGCAAAACCTAACGGGTTTTCGATGCACTCATATGTATTACTATGTTCAATAAAAGTAAAGTTAAATAAAATTTTCCTGCTTTTTAATAGTGATTCTGTTTCCTAAAACTTGGTTGCTGCTACAAAGCACTGTAATGACAGTTGGGTCAATTTTCTGCTGAATGGAATTGCAGTTATGGCACCCTAAAAATGAGATCTAGTCTTATAAAATCTAACTAAAAAATCACTTGGCTTCCTCTCTCTCTTGGGTCTTGGCTGTTCCATGGCTCATGGTCTATCTTTTCTTAAATTGGTTCAAGAAACTCTCAGATGGAGAAGGTATACATAGGGTATGTGGGCAAGGAGACAGGCAACTATAGAGGGACGTTCTATAGTGGCCGCTGGCTGCGGAGAATGCAGTTAAATCTCTTCAATGAAGGTGGTACTTCTTTGTGTGAGTTAGTAACTGTGAGTTAGTAACTCAGAAGAGTGTAGAAATTACTCTCTCTACTGCACAAATCAAAAAAGAGGAAGTGGTTGTAGTTTTGAAAAAGATGAAGTAAAGAAAAGCAATGGGTCCCGACGATATATCGATTGAAGTGTGGAAGGTCTTGGGAGACATGAGTATAGCATGGCTAACAAACATTTTCAATAAGATTTTGAAAACAAAGAAGATGCGCAGTAATTGGCGAGAAAACAATTTGTTGCCTATATACAAGAATGAGTGCGACATATAAAATTGCATGAACTATAAGGGTATTAAGTTAATGAGTCATACAATGAAGCTCTGGAGACACTAATTGAGCGACACAAGTCTCATAGAATCAATTTGGGTCCATGCCAGAGCGCTCGACAATGGAGGCAATCTATCGTTTACGACGATCAATGGAGCGATATAAAGATATGAAAAATGATTTGCACATGATCTTTATAGATTTGGAAAAAGCGTATAGTAATGTCCCAAGAGAATCCTTTACAAGTAGCATATATTCAAGCAATAAGGAATATGTATGATGGAGTAAAGACTATAGTAAGAACTTATGAAGGAAACCAAAAGCTTTCCCATAACTATAGAGTTACACCAAGGCTCAGGTTTAAGTTTTTACCTTTTTGCATTGGTGATAGACGAGTTAATGAGACATATTCAAGATGATATTCCTTGATGTATGCTTTACGTAGGTTATATAGTGCTAATAGATGAAACACAGGAGGGAGTGGATGTGAAGCTTAACCTTTGGCGGAAAGTGTTGGAATCTAAAGGTTTTCACCTAAGTAAGTCAACAACAGAGTATACGAAGTGCAAGTTTAGTGAGAATGAGGGTGCAAATGAGCTAGAGGTGAGGAATTGGAGACCATGAAGTATTGAAGAATGAATGCTTTCGGTATCTTGAATCTATCTTGCAAAATAACGGAGATTAGATGTAGATCTCAACCATAGAATACAAGCTGGATGGATGAAGTGGATGTGTGCATTGGGTGTGTTGTGCGGCCATCTTATGCAACTAAGGCTCAAGAACTTTTTTTATAGGATGACAATAAGGTCACCGATGCTTTATGACACAGAATGTTAGGCGGTCAAAAAGTAACACGTGCAAAAAAATGAGTATAGTGGAGATGAAAATGCTTCGTCAGATGTGTGGCCTCACGAGAAAAGATAGGATTAAGAACGAGGATATCGGAGGTAAAGTAGGAGTGACCGCAATTGAAGATAAAATGAGAGAACATCAGTTAAGATTGTTTGGACACGTGAACTGAAGAACTACATATGCTCCAGTTAGAAAATACGACTAAGAGATGGAGGGTCATGGCAAAAAGGGTAGAGGAAGACTTTAAAAGAGATTATAAGAAAATATATGGAGTGCTTGGAGCTAATGGAATACTTGGAGCAAAATTGAGCAAATAGCGTTCTAGAATTCATACAGACGATTCTACTTAGTGGGACAAAACTTGATTGTTGTTGTTATTGTATTTAAAATAAAATAAAATAAAAGGTTAAATTTTTTGGATGGGATGTGTTAACACGATTACTCATAAAAATTCAAGAATCCAACCTTTCTTTTAGCGTTACTCTTTTTTTTTTTGGGATAATAAAGATAGAAGTTGGATGAAAGGTGCTGATGGACCAAAAAAATTCTTGTTAAGATGTCAATTAATTATGAATTAATGCATTCCCTGTCCGTCGTTATCGTGGATGGAGCCTGCTTAAGGTCATGTTTTGTGCCGATTAATGAAGCTCTTGTGTCTTATTCTGATGAAGCAATTTGCAACCTGTGTTGTGTGTTAGTATTCTCATGCCCTTTTTGAGCAATCAACGTGCACCATATGGCTTTCAGCCCTCTACCAATTTGACCTTGTTGTACATGCCTTAATGCATGTCCATCGTCACTTTATCACTTAATTCATAAGGTTGATCCATCATCTCGTGACTTGTTGATTTTGTGTTATATCTAAGTTTAACTCCAAACGAACAAAAACTATAAGATTTTTAATTTTCTCTTTTCCAATCAGTTGTTTTCACACAACACCGTCCAAAATATGACTAGTTGAAAATTTTAGTGCTAGTTTTCATGAAGTTAATATCTTAAGTGAAAATTTACTCACCCCGCCCTACTAAAACTTGGCCTAGTCCCCTTTAACAACTCCTAATTAAGTTCGTAACACAAAGTCAGTTACATAGCCACACATAGCAGACAGGAAAAAGAAAATTATAGCCTTACATTTGTGAAAATTCCTAGATTCATCATTGATCATAACTACGAGTAAAAGAGCAATTATTTACTCAAAGGTGTTCATTGTATTAATTTCTAAGAAAATATCGTGTCACACATTTTTACTTGAGTTGTTTCTCTAATTTGGGGATAGAGCTCATCATCTCTAGTATTTCTTGTTGTTAGTGTTTTTGTGTCTTGATCAGTGAGAGTTATAGATGTAAGCACGTAGAATTGGTCATTGTCATGTATGGTGAACAAGTATAAAAGTGGTTGTCGCTCGAAAGAAGAATAATTAACTTCTAAATCAAAATTAATTGAGTCATAATCTTTCTGTTTCATTCAAATCACACCCACCACACCACCACTCCCATGTAGTAGCAAGTTAGTAACCCATAGCTATTAGCTAGCAAAGAGAGAGTGAGTGCAATTATAAATAGAAGGAAATCATATTCAACACTAATTTAATATTTGGTTAATTCTGAAAAATGGTGGAGATGTTATTTTCCTACTCTTAATCAACAGTGAACACTAATTTCATATTGTAGCACTCAATTTTTGGACAATGACTTTGGTGTCTATATAGTCATTGGTGTCTATATAGATTAATGCAAGTTGATATAATGCCAATTTAAAAAAAAAACACATTTTATACTTTGTATAATACACATAAACATAACCAACTTGTAAACTTTTATCATATCAAATTCTTTTGAGCTATTTCTTAACTATTTAGTTCCGCTACTGGTGACACCATGTTGGCTCCTCTTGAATTTATTATATACTTTTAAATTATTCACATAAACTTTTTTTTTTGAAAAATAATTTTACTCACAAGTCAGCACAACTAATTAAGTATGTGCAAAATAAATAAATAAATAAATAATTTCCAAAGTATTGGTTTTGTGTACTCTCTGTGCTATTGAAAACAACGGATAATTCACGGAGAAGTGCCAACTGCCAAGTATGGTTCTGATGGATTATTATGTCATATTGATACTCACATCTATTGAAGATGAAGTTAATTTATGTTAGGAGTAATAATCAACTCCAAATGTAATTAATTACCGTGACAAAAATAATTATACTACGGCCTGGTTTAATCCTTAGGATTGAACTCACAATACAAAGGTATGTTGAAGGAAAACATGAAAAAAAAATTCTTTGGTATGTAGTAGATGAATTACTAAAGGAATCTTGTCGTTTCCAAACCCCCTCAAAATAGAGAAAATTTTCAGTGTACTAAAAACATGGTATGGTACACTAAATGTCATAAAACAAATGGTTGAAATTTTCTTCAAATATCGAATCACTTGTATATTATTACACTTGGGTATTGAACCATGTTTCCGGTACATCGAAAAATCTCTCCTCAAAATAGGAGGATCCTAAGGGAGAAATTTCTTTATATCTAATCCCCTTCTAGTAAAAAAAAATGAAAAATCATTCATCTTGGCGTTTAATATACTTAGAATTTTACGAGTTTTCATTCTAATTCAATCCTAATTAAAGGCTAGATGAGGCGTATGTATCTTAGCTCATCCCAAAACAAAAACATAAAAAGACATTATTACTAATAATTATTCATAGAAGAGTGATAAGATCAATACATCACCCCCATGAGCGCCAACGCGACTGATCTTAAATTTCCCTTGCTTATAATATCAAACTCTGGAATATTGGATGCACATCTCTTAATAAACACGTTAGTTAGTTCCATCAATCATGTCGACAAGCTCAGCAAAAACACATTAAGGGGGTTGAGCTGGTGGTTGTAGTATTGTCTTGTATATCGTTGTGGATGTAAATTTCTGTCATCTTCTTATTTGACGAAAATGCACTTGCAAAATAATAACACCTAATATTAAGATCAAAAGCCTCACACACCCATAATGATTTTTTTTTTGTTGGGGGGGGGGTGTGCTTTGGCTGAAGAATCTCCGATGCCAAAGTTAGAATTATGAAAATAATATGTTTAGGAGTTTGCGGGTAGCAAATGACTTAACTTTTTAATAGGATAATAGAGCTATTTATAAGAGAGTGGCATGCCTTATTTGGAGGTCATATATGGTGTATTTGGAGAATAATTGCAAGATATTATGTGAAATAATATCCTGCAATTAACATGGTAGTTAATCCCAAATTAAATAGGAAGTTTTGGGAGTTACCTTTTGAATAAGGATTTGATGAGGAGTAATAAGAGGGATTTAAATAAATATCATTTTGATCATCTTTGACTCTTCCTTAGATGTTTCATCATGTGTTCTTTTGAGGCTTGGTTGGTGGTCAGTTGAGAATCTAAACAAATTACAAGCTTCTTCACCATTAAGTTTTTCGCTAGCAGGGGTTGCTAGTAAAGCCTCGTATTCTACTCTATCATTGGATGCTTCGAAGTTTGAA